TGTACTGGTCCACCTCCAGGCCCTCCAGCAGCGCTGTCTTGCTGTGGAAAAGTGAGAGGACGAGGCTCAGGGGCCTGGCTCGACCTTACCCCGGGCACAGGCCTGTCACTTTTCAGCTCTGCCACTCTGCACGAGGCCACCGGTGTGAGGCGACCCTGTGCGGAGGCGCTGTGTGACGCCTGGATGCTGGGCTGGGACATGGCCCCTACACCCGGCGGGGAATTTGACAGCCTCAGAGAAGTGCCCTGCCCTCGGCACGTGCAAGGACCATCAGACTCACTTGCACACGGGGCACCTCCAGGTCCCCCGCTCACAGTTGAGCTGCAGGTAGGACTCCAGGTCGAAGCACTGCGGAGAGAGACCGTTTCTCGCTGCGGCCCAGCTGCATGCTCTCAGGGCGTACGTCCTCGCACGTCTGAGAAGCTGGGGGCACCAGGATTCCGCTAGGCTATTGTTCTAAAAGTGTAGATGCGGGACAGCCTCGCAGCTTCACTGGGACGGGAACACCATGAGGCCAGGCATGAGTCTGGTGACTAGGCTGACGAGGACACAGACCCCGACACAGTGTTGAAGGGGAGCAGGTGCAAGGCTATGCGTACACCTGCATGGCCAGGTGGGTGGCAGGCGCGCACTTGTCTGCAAACAGGACCTACGCGGTGCTCCCGGGGTCACGAGGGAGACTGCGCGCACTTCCGCGATGCCCTTTGAGACCGGAGCCCTGCGAACACGTGGGGCCGCTACGCGTAGAGGAACCAGAAGCCCGGCCTGAGGGGCCAGCAGGGAAGCCGGGTCACCTGCTTGCTGGCCGGCCTGCCCTGTTGCCTGCTGGCCAAGGTGCTCAGCGCCTTTTCTGCTAAAGACAGCGAAATGGCGATGTGCTGGCAAAGCCTAAGGTGACCACCCACCTGTATGTGGCGACAGTCGTGGCCGCGGGCGGGGAGCTGGATCCTGCGGAAGGTGATGGGGCATTTGAGGGCCACCTTGATGGCTGTCTGCTCCACCCCGTCCTCTCCGTTGGGCCCGGGGGTGCCGGGGATGGTGCCGCTGCTGAAGTTCCGCTTTACTGGTGGCAGAAGGGGAAAGCCGTGAGGGAGGGCCGCCCACCGGGATGCCCACCGCCCCGCAGAGCCCGGCCCAGGGGAGACGGCCTTGCCGGACACGGGCCCCGCCTGGAGGGCGGCGGCGGCGGCGGCCACTCACTCTTGGTGATGCAGTGCTCCGCTGGCAGCAGACGCTTCTTCAGAAGGCCCTGCAGCACCGAGCGGACGGCCGGCCGGTGCACCAGCTGCAGCACGAAGAGGTGGGACTGCAAGGGAGGCACAGGTGAGCGGCGGGCCCCGCCCACGCCCGCCTTGTGTGACGTCCAGCATGGCCCCTGGCCATGGCAGGCGCTGGAGGGCCCCCAAGCCCGCCTTGCCAGCACTGTCCACGCCGGGTCCGAAGTGGAACCCCAAAACCCGAGAACTGCCTCAGGCGGCCCGGCTAGAATCCGGGTGACCCCCTAACGAGGATGTGGGGCTCCCTTTGTGAGCTCCCTGCAGGAGAGGCGCAGGCCCAGCACGGTATCTCCTCCGGGGAAGGAGACCCGGCCTGGCCGGACAGCGGCGAAGGCAGGCCGCACCGGCTCCCTTTTCTTAAAGGGCCAGGCAGGAAACTGCCGGAGGCGCGGGGACCTCAGCCCTTCTGTCTTTCAGCCACCTGGGCCGGCCCTGCCTGGCACTCACGCAGCAGCAGGCGGTGACGGTGATCTGGACGGTGTTGCGGCCTGGCTGGCACACGTGCTTCAGGTGCAGGGGCTTGTGGGAGGTCTTGTTGTCGCCGCGCTCGATGGTGAGGGGAGTGGCGTTGACGCTGACCTGCACCGAGGCCGGCCAGTTGGTGTTCATCTGCCGGTCCTCGTGGTGGTAGCACTTGAACTGCAGCTCCAGGTCAGGCCTGCGGTGGGGGCGGAGCTGAGCGGGGGCGGAGCTGAGCACAGCCGGGCCGCGTGAGGGCGGCGCGCTCACCTCAGCATCAGGGTCTTGTAGACGGAGTCTCGCAGCTGGAAGGCGTGGTTGCTGACCGCCAGGTTGTGCTGCAGGCGGAAGGGCTCCAGGACCACCCCATCCCGGACCGGGAAGGTCAGCCGCAGCTCGTCGCATGGGCCACTGCCTGGGAGCAGGCCGAGGCCGAGTGAGCTCGCCAGAGGGCCACCAGGCTGGGCAGCCACCCCGCCCCATGGCAGGGACGGTGGCAAGGGGACTGCAGCTACCAGGCTGGGGTCAGGAACCATCTCTCGGGACCTCGGGCCCAGCTGTCACCTTGGAAGGTAACAAGATCAACTGCTGTCCCCTCAGTGACGACCTGAGGACACGCCCCAGCCAGAAATGTGCTTCTGGTGCTTTTGAGGGGCTGGCAGTGGGGGGTGGGGCGGTGGGCTACCTGCCAGCACTCCAGTGCTGGAACCACGGTGTGGTCCCACCTACAGGGCTCGGAGCCAGTATGGGGGCTTCAGCAGACCTGCAGAGAGGCCCCAGCCGGGCACAGGTGAAGGGCCCCCACGTCCCGTGCAGGACTCTCCAGACCCAGGGGCAGGCGACACTCACCGGGGGGTGACGGGTGCAAGGCGCTCACGCTGGGCTTGAGGTCAGGCAGGAAGGGAGACTTGACCTCCTGGCTGGTGGACATGTAGGGGATGCTGCTGCCGGGGGTCATGGGTGGCGTGGGGCTCCCTGGCAGTGGGGAGCTGGGGTAGCCAGGGATGGAACGGGTGGGCTGTGGGGTCGAGCATACAGTCAAGGCAGATGGCGGGGCCGGGCTGTTTCTGAGCACACGCTGGGGGTCAGGCAGCAGCGCGCAGGGGCAGCCCAGGTGCCCTCTGTCTGCATTCGCCCGAGCCTCCCGCCCGGCTGCCCATAGCCCATAGCGCACTCAGGCCAGGCTGTGGCTGAGGGCTCCCCCCGGTTAGCTGTGGCCCCTGGGGCTCCTGGACTTGACCCCAGGGGAAGGCTGGGGCGGGAAGCCCACCACACACATCAGCCCTGGTCTTTGCTTGCTTCTTTACGTGCTTCTGTATTTTCAAAACCATCTATAGGGAGCACACACTGATTTCAGTTTTAAAAATCACCACAGAGCAAGCTGCCCCGCGTCAGAGCGGTTACAGGGGAGCCGCCACGAGGCAGCACTCTCGGATGGTCCCTTCAGAACTGGGGCGCCTCCCGGAGCTGCCCTGCACTGCCCAGGACACGGGGAGGTGCCTGGCCACTAGGTCCCTGAGCACACGTGGCCCCTCCCCAGCCAACTGACTCAAGGGTGTTGTGTCTCAGTGTTTGGTGGGGGCTGCCGCAGGCCTGGCGGAGCTGGCCCTACCTTGTAGTGCAGTCCCGGGGGGCCAGAGGTGGACAGGGGCAGCCTGTGACTGGGGTAGGAGGAGGGGGCGGGGGGCTGGCCGGGGCCAGGTGCGTACTGGCCTCCTGGCAGGTACTGCTGCCCCGGATACACCTGCAAGAGGAAGGAGGCAGATGCCCGGGGAAGGCCAGCGTCGGGAAGGCCAGGCCCAGGGAGGGGTGGCAGGGCCCACGCCCAGCCGGCTCCCCCACAGGGACGCCAACCTCGGTATGGCCCGGGATGGCATGGGGCAGGGGCGTGGACGCTCACCTCGCTGGAGTAGCCCCTCTTGAGCCCCTGTCGGGGCAGCGGCGGGGCCTGCACGGGCCCTGGGAACCCATGCTGGGGCAGGCGCTGCCCCGCGTGCAGGGGTGCCATGCTGGCCGCCCGGGCGTGGTTCATGCCCACAGGGCTCATGCCCGAGGGGCCCAGCAGGCCTCCCACGCTGCTGGACCCACGGGCGCCCCCGTGCTGCAGGAACTGGCTGCTGAAAGACGGGCCGGACCCCATCTGGGAAGAGAAGAGGGGGACTGTCCAGGCCCGCCTGCGCAGGGCCTTGGGCCTCTCTTGCAGGCACCCTGGTCCCCGAGCCTTGCCCCTGCCTCTCAGAGCCTCGTGTGCCCTGGGGACCGAGCGGCTGCCTGACTGTCCCCCTTCCAGGGCCGGTGGCCCTTGCAGCAGGAGCTGCGGCCTCACCGTGCCATACTGGCCCAGCTCCTGGCTCTGCTTCTCCTGGAGGGCGGCCACAGTGGCTGTGGCTGTGGCCGTGGCAGTGGCAGCAGCAGCGGCCACGGCAGCAGCGGCTGCTGCTTGCGTGAAGTCCGTGGAGGGTCGTGCGGCATGTGACGGGAGGCCCAGGCCCCCTGGCCCCCCAGGACCTCCAGAGTACCTACAAGGAACACAGGCAGCTCTGCTCAGAAGCGTGTCCTGCCCGCAGCCAGCGGGAGCCAGCAGACGAAGCAAACAACACATCCGCGCTGCACTGTCACAGCTCCCAGTGCCCACCCAGAGGGCTCCCTGCACACCTGCCAGGGGTGGTCCTGCTTACCCGGTGGCGAAGCCAGGGCCCCCGGCGTAGCCCCCGCGGCCATACACGCCCTGCTGCACGTAGCCCTTGCTGGCGCCGCCCTCCCCGAAGGCCTGCTGTCCCAGGCACTGCGGGGGGCTCAGGGCCGAGCTGCCGCCTGCCATGCCCGGCATCATAGAGCCTCCAGGGGGGCTCCCTGCAGGGCCCATGGGGCTCCCCAAAACCTGTGAGAAAGTGAGAATCACCAGAAGCGAACTGCCCAGCCTGTTTCACACAGTATCTCAAATGCTAAAAAGGAGAAATGGGGCAGGTAAGGGGGTGCATCGTGGTGGGGGGTGTGCACGGGGTGGAGGCAGGACGGGGCATAGGGAGGGGGAGTAGGGCCATGGCGGCGGGGGGCGGCTTGTGGGTGGATGTGGGGGCCAGGCAAATGCAGGAGGAGCACATCGAGACCAGGCTCTGTCCCCTGAGCTCTGAGGCAGGGCTTGGTGGCTCTCAGGTGGGGCCCGATGTGGGCTCACCTGGCTCGGTGCCGCGCTGCCGACTCCCCACACGGTCGTGACCACGGACAGCGATCCTGCGGGCTGAGTGGCACTCTGCTGCCAAGGCACCGCCTCGAAAGCGAAGGGACCATCACTGCCAGGACAGAGGCACAGGGGCCTGGATCAGGGGCCGGGGAACTGGAGGCTGCGAGCAGAGGGGTCCGCTCGGCTCCTCCCCCAGGCTGAGAGGGGAGGGCAGCAGGAGGCCCACTCACCCGTGTGGCACGGAGGGCAGGGCAGGTTTCATGGGGTTCATGGGGTTCATTGGCCTGGGGGCAGCCTGGAGGCCAGGTCTGCGAGGGGCAGGCGGTGGCCCTCACGGGTGCTGAGGTGAGACGCGGCTGCTCTGGCTGCAGGACAGGAGGGAAGGACGTCAGTGCAGAGGCAGCCGAGAGGCCCGTCCACAGCGAGCAGGGAGCCCACCCTGATCACTCCGCCCCCAGCTCTGCTCCCACAATGGTGGGCATGCAGGTGACAGTGGAATCCCAGGGCCACTGCGGGGAGTGGAGGCAGGGCACCCTGGAATCAGCACACGGAGCTGCCCATCCCCAAGCCAGCCCAGAGCCAGCGTTTACCCCTCCTGGCCAGGCAACCTGCAGCCCCTGCAGGCCGGCTTTCTCACCCCGCGTCCTTCCCACATGAGGCTGGGATGTTCGCAGAGGCCAGAGAATGTCCGGAGTCCCAGAAGGCCCGGGGAGGAGGCCTGGCCTGGAGCGTGGGGTGAGGCCAGCAGTGCCCCCCCAGACCTCCCCTCAGGACAGCAGGAAGCATAGGCATCACCCCCATACTCAGAGGCCAAGCGGTCCCCTGGAATGCACCCTCTTGGGGTTCAGGGTCGGGCTGGAGCCCTGCTGCCTTTCAGGGACGCCAAGGCCTCATGACACGCCCACTGGGCCATCACCCAGCACTCTGGTGCCTCCCTCTGGCAAGGGGCAGAAGGGGGCCCCAGCACCACCCAACCCAGGGCTCCTGTTCCTGAGTGCTGACGGGAAGACAGGCCCTGATCATGTCCTCTGCAAACAGTCCCGGAGGCACGTGGCAGTGAGTCCCTCCCAGGGCCCCAAAGGCAGAGGTGGCTCTGCCTTTAGCGCTGTGGCCTTCACTGGCCCAGCCCACCACAGAGCACTCCAGGCGATGGGTCCAGAGTCACAGGAGGAAAGGTGACCGGCCAGGCGAGAGGAGGGGGAGGCAGTGGGCTGCGTTCCCCCCTCACACTGGCCCTGCCCCTCTCTCCTCCCTAGTCCACGTCCTACTCAGGAAGCAGAGGCAGGGTGGGAGCAAGGATCGCCCAGCCAGACGGGAAGGCTGGCGACCCCAGGCCCCACTGCTTGACTCTGGGATGGTGACAATGGGGGTGGGGGGAGACTGGAACCCCCCGACACCCAGACCTGCTGGGTGGGGCCTGTAGCACCATGAGGGTTTGCAGGACCTGGGACGTCCCGTGCTAATTCGGACTGTGTTGTTAGGAGAGGGACAGACCAAGGAGCCCAACACAGACCTGCGTAAACAGACACATCTGAGTAATTTCTGACAAAGGTGCAGAAACCCCAACAGAGGAAAGATGACGTTCGACAAATGGCGCCGGAGTAGCCGGACAGACCCAGGCGAGACCCAAACCTCAAACTCACTCAGGAATCAACTCCAAGCGGGTCATGGATTAAATGCATAACACGGAACAAGAAAACCTTTAGGGAACACAAAGGAGGAATCCCTGAGGCTCTTGGGCTACGGAAAGGGTTCTAGGTACGACGCCAAAAGCACGATCCAGAGAAGGAGAACCTGGAGCCTTCGTTCTGTGAAAGATGCCGCTAAGAGTGCGAAAACAAGTCACGGGCGGGGAGAAACGTCTGCAAACCCGGTATGCGACGGAAGCCTGGTCGATACTCAGAAAGAGTCCAATGAAAAGATGGGCAACAGACACGTCACGAAGAGGACATGCTGATGGCAGATGAGCACAGGAGGCAGCGCTTAGCATCACCAGCCACTGGGGCACGCAGATTAAAGCCATGGTGCGAAGTCACAGCACGCTTGTCAGGATGGCCAAGGTAAAAAATAGCGACATACGCTGTTGGCAGTGTGGCTCCTCTGGAAAGCAGCCAGCTGTGTTGTCTAAAACACCAGCCTGCAGTTACTTCCTACCCAGCAACTCACTCCTGAATGTTTGTCTCCAGGATCGTAAACTACTGTTCACGTGAACATCTGTACATGAGGGTTTACAGCAGCTTTGTGCCTAGTCACCCCAGAACACAAACTCAGACGTGCTCTGGGCGAGGACCAGCCACACACCAAGTGTCCCCAGCCGCAGGTGTGAAAGAGCAAGCTCGTGCCCGCCAGTCTGCGGGAATCCCCAGGGACTTATGCTGCCTGGAAAAAGCCAGCTCCCAAAAGTTGCACACTGTATGACACCCTTCACATAAGAGTCCCGAAAGGAAAAAAATGATAGACACGGAGAAGACAGTGGCTGCGGGGTTAACGGGACCGGGGGGTAGGAGGCAGCGACGGGGGTCTGGGCGTCTCTACCGTTCAGGGCGCCCTATCGTGATGCTGTACTACAGTTTGCAAGATGTTACCACCGGGGAAGTCAAGTACAGGGACACGGCTGTGTCATTTCTCATGACTGCATATGAATGTAGAATTCTCACCAAATAAAAAGTGAGGTCCCTGATCCCCCACCCCACAGCAGCCCTCTGTCTCCACAGAGATGCCCATGGCACTCCCCTTCCACGCAGAACTGGCTGGTTTGGTGGGCGGCAGAGAACAGGAGGCTGAGTCCCAGGGCAGGGGTGAGCGGGCACCGGACTCCCTGGGAGGGCCGGTGGGCCAGGGTGGTGCAGACACAGGGCAGCCTCCTGCAGCACGTGGCCTGGGGAAGCCCACCCCGCTTCTCGGCTGTGGATGGGGCCACAGACCCTTCCAGTTCCCCCAGAGCCCCGCTGGCGGGGCGGTGACTTCCTGCCTGCACAGCTCCTGAACCAAGTCTGCTCCTGCCCTAAGAGGACCCGCAGGCCCAGGTCCCTCTGCAGGTCCCCTGACCCTCTGTTCCTCATACAGGCAAGGGCAGTGCCGAGTGCAGATCCGCCTCACCTCTCCCCGCTTCGGCCTGGAGAGGAGCCGGCAGTGTGCAGGGCCCGTGCCTGTGGCGTAGCACTTCCAGCTGCGAGCCGGGACCCCTTTGCAGAACAGCCCTGGCACGAGGTCAGGCCAGAAAGCCACATGGCTTTCTGGGGAGCAAATCACATCTTTTTGCAGAAAAAGAGCTACACACAACTCGCTACCCAGACTCCTCTTCCCCGGAACCTCAGAACAGCTGTACTCGGTCTTCTGTGTGCCCGCCGCAGGCAGACGCTAATGTGGGTCAACCCTCTGCCACTCCCACCCCATGCCCTGGCCTCGTCACTGAGGAGGAGCATGACCCCAGGAGGGCAGCCCCTCCCAGGTAACAGAGCAGGGACGCACTGCCTCCAGTAGTAGCAGGGAGCTTGGTTCTAGGCTACTCCAGAGGGACACTGGAGTCACAGGCTCGGAAAGAGGGGGAGAACACA